ATATATATATATATATATATATATATATATATATCTAAGTCGCTATTGCACCAGGTTCATATCTCATTAATATTAATGTTTAAAATAAAGCAAGCAGAAAACAGAAAAAATAAAGTGACATAAATAGACCGCGTATTGAGGAGTAAACATCAAAAACAATAACATTAACAGTTACAATTATATTAGCGAATAAGTTATAACATAATATTTCTAATAAATTATAATTTTATACCAGTATCAAAAATCAAGTAGTGACATTTGTGAACAGAACAAGTTTTGGAGCAAAGGAAGTTTAATTTCTTCACTATTCAGGCTCACCAGTCAACGTCGAGTGACTTGTTGCAGCTGCTAAAGACGATTCTGTTTCATACCGACTTTCTGACTTTATCCGTACAAATTCCTTGGCCAACTCATCACTTTGCCGTTGACTTAATATCCTAAAAGCAAATTTTTCCGATTCTAAAAATTACATTTTTAGCCACTATCAGCCATACATTCTTTATTTGCTGTCATGATAACGCCGATATTTTAAGATAGGAGTCAATGTGCAATCGTTAAATGCTTGTAAGTAGGATTTCCACACTTTGCTGGCTTAACGCTGAATTCCTTTTTGGCTAGAGGAATGATAGAATTAAGCTAAAAGCTGCTCGGTAATAAAGAGAAAAAAACTAAGGGATGGGACAAAAAAATTGCTTTCGGAATATTAGTAGTAACCGTCAAGTTGACCCATAAATAACTGTCAACTTGAAAGTTCCATTTTTCAAGCATGCCTAAGTTAGACGAGTATTTAGGAAAAGAATGAGCCGCGACACTTTAATAATGCAAAGCTCAATGTCTGCGTTTTTTGGTGATTGCATTTCTTTTTTCTTTTCTTTTTTTTTTCTTTGAATGGGTTTTTAACAATTTTGTTTAGACTGCAAAAGAGCTATTTTCTAGTACTTATCTGCGGAGGAAAAATAATCTTGCTGCAGCAACCAAGAAATCAATGGAATATTTGGGAGTTCCTTTCTAAAAAATGATTTGTACTAAGGCGGTTTGCAAAGTTTGTAAACGGAGTTGAAGCAAAATGTGTGTCTTCTCGGCAGGCTTTTTTATTCCGCATCATAAAAATAGTTGCCAAGACTCAGCAAGAAGAAATCAAACGTAACGTATTTTCAGAACTTGAAGTTTTACATCAAGTGACTTAGTTGGCAATTGCTTGAACTAGAAGGAAGGAAAAAAGCAGAATTATGTAAACCTCGTTAAGCCAATGGGTCATAACAAATGATGTGCATTCAGCAATGCATAGCTTTCTTTGGTACTTTAAAATTTGTCCGGTTTCAGGCCTGACTGTCAATCGTAATAAAAAAGTAGATGTTGTGCAGAAATTAAAAAGAAGCTGGATAGTAGGCAGATGTCAATCAGCCTATTATTCGGATGACAGGACTGAAATTCCTATAAGCCTAGAGGCAGTAAGCGGTCACGGTTTAGCGGCACATTAGTGCGGTAATTGTACAGAATCTCTGAATGTTTCTTGGGATAACACAAAAAGTTTACAATATAGCCATTTTAAACTTTATTTCATAAGCGATTACTGATTTAGCTAGCCCTCCCATAACCTGTTCGTAGAAATAAGTTCCAAGTATTCACGAAGAAAAACCATGTAACAAAGATCTGTGCAAATGTTGTTTCATTCCTAAAGCCACCAAATGAGAAAATGACTAAATCTCAGTTCCATGCAGAAGAAAAAAATACTTTCTTTCTGTGATTTGCAGGAAATGTAATGCAAGTGAACGAGTGTCTTACTCGCAGTTGGATCAGAGCGTAAACCACATTGCAACAGAAGACCGTTAGCTATCTAATTACTTTCTTACTTATGTAGCTATTTAAGTACGTTAGAGACTGGACATATTCACTTCTGTGACCAAAAGCAATCAGAGCAAAACGAGCAAAAATAAAATCTACCAGCCAATTTTCTACTCAGACAGCAAAAATCCCTGACAGTGATGGTTTTTTTCATTCAAGAAAACATGTAGGACAAGCCGTTCCGAGAGGGAAGAAATCTCGTTTGGCTTTTTTTAAGCACTTAACTTGCTCTTTTCCGTTAAGTTATTGCCCAGAGGAATTTGAGGGAGTATATATGAACTACCAAAAACTGCTCGACCAAAAAGATGGCAAAAAGAAAGTTTATATAAAGTTAAAAAACTAGGCTGCTTATACGTATCAACAATTACCTGAGAAGGATTAGACCCGTATCATCTATGTGTAGTCGTCTTGCTAACTGAATCCAATTTGCATATTTACTCCGTTCCGTAACAGCCGACAGTTGTAAGACGCCAACACCGACAATGCGATCATCACGAGCAAAGAAATAGTCTTTCACTTGGAATATGAGCTCATATTGATCTAGATCAACGTCCATGCTAACGGTTCTGTAATTTATAAATACAGTGACATTGTAAAAGAAGTCTGTAAAAAAGTTGAATACAACGTAACCGTACTGATCGAAGTAAAAACAACAACTGACGGTAAATAACTTACAGGTTGAATACTTCATTAAATTTAGGTGCCCATGCTCCGGCTTTAGATTTGGTAGCAACTTTCTTCTTGTTGGCCAGTGAAGGGCCGATCAAGTGAATTTCAACAAATGGTCGGAACACATGATTTGTTTGCCATCGCAAATCGTTTGCTGCGATTACTGTAAGCAACATTAATTATAACTTCTATTTTAGCTACTGTTACTAGGTTTCTTTCATTGTCATTATTTTTTTCTTACTATATCGTTTACTTAATTTGCGAATATATTAAATTTAGAAAGCAAATTTATAGGTGATACCTTTAATTGTAATACGTTTCTCATCAGTTTCCGGGTTATCAAAGAGATCGACCTCCACGCTTATTTCTCCAACTGGCTCCTCTAGTGCCAACGCACCTGAGCAAAAAAAATCACATATACTTTTTTTTTCAAAAAATTGATTATGAAAATAAGAGTACAGCTTGTTTAAATGGATGATAAAGTGGAAGGAAACATATTTGATAAACTAAAGGTTCCAGCCGTGTTAAGCAGATCTTCTTGGTAGCAGAGTAAATTAACGGTTTTCTAGTGAAGTATGTCTGGCACTCAATTTACTTTTTGGACTCTGCTTAAGAACACCAGAAAAAAAAAGAGAAAGTGATTCCTAGATAGGTGTTGTAGCGAAGACTCTTCAGCTACTGTGCAGTAATAATAACGTTTGAGTCCAAGACTGTTCTCCTTAAATTTTAGTATTTCATTTGTTTCATCACATAAGGCTCCTATAGTACCTCTAATAAGACAGAATTAACTGCCATGAGTTAGAAAAAAAATAAATTAAGAATATCAGAGAGGAACGAAGACTGTAAAATGATAGTTTTTGAGGGCAGGGTATCTCAAGAAATGATATCTGAAGACAAATAACACGCATGATCAAACTTATGCGGAACTCTTTGTAATTGAATTTTGAGCGCTCAGAAAGTCCAAAAGTCCTCTTTGCTCTCAATCTTAACTTGGAAATGAACAAAGAAAAAATGCTGTTGTGCGTTGAAGAGCAACCTGAGCAGCGCAGTATAAAGAATTTGAAGTTTTCATATACCTTGGTCCTTCTGGGTCTTCACAAATTTGCGGATTAACTGTTCAGTCGGCTGCGTGTACAGTGATAAAGCCGATTTTAGCGATTTCAGATCTGGTGACTTTTCAAAGAATGCTTCCTTGAGACCCTGGCCACCAGCATGGAAGGAATCTTTGATTGCATCCAAACAAAGATCCAGCACTTTGCACTGTTTTGGTGTTAAAGCTCTGTCACTTTCCCGTGCTATATCCTGTAAATTTTTCAAAAATTCAATTAGTTTTGCATATTAAAAATCAAAAAAAAAATTTTCAATATTACTTCAAGCTTTAATCACTAACTACAAAAGAGCATCAGCACTGAAACAGTTTTTTATATTCCTTCTGAAAATAAATAACTGCTCCACTATGACAGCATAATAAAGCCCGCCGTCGGTTAATTTTAAAAACAAAAAAAAGTTGAAAACGAAAAAGAAAACTATAAACGATGAAACTTTTAGTGAGAAATTAATGAGGATTTAAAAGCGATACGTACCTGCTAAAATTGCTATCAATTATACGTACAATTATTTTTTGGTAAACTTTTTTGCTTTTTTTTCAATTTTTAGTGAATTTCGCTTTTTTTCAAAGCAAATAACAAGTTTTTTTTGCTGAAAGAACCCAGGATAGAATAATACAAATGCAAAAGAAAAGAAATCTTTTGATAAGGCCAATGATAACTAACCATCATTTCTTTCACAGAAGTCATACTTTTTACTTCACGTAAATGCGTTGACATTAATCTGGTAACATCACCAAGTCGTGTACCAGGAATTTGTTTTAAAAACTAAATAGAGTTTTTTACATGGTTGTTTGTATGTGTTTTCAAAATAAATTGAAGAAGAAAAATAGGCAAAAAAAAAATGAAGGAGAATATAAATTTTGAAAGGAAAAGAGAAACGAATTTAAAGCAATATTATGTCCGATTGTGTCTTTGACGTATTCTGTACGGCTGCAAAAAACAGCAATAACAATGTATCATCAGCAATTTTGGAAGGAAATTTTGCATCAAATATTTACCGCTTTATTATCTAACGGAGGCAAAACAACCAGCTTTTCCAATCCGTTAATCACGCAAGTCCATAAAGCCTAAAAATTGTAGAAAAGGATATCATTAGTGCAATATTTTTTGGCGTTTTTGTTGCTATTACTGTTATTACTACTGAAATATATGCATAAGTGCAACAGGTCTGAAAAAATAAAGAAGATAGAAGAATCAGAATGCATAAGTGACACTAATAAACGAATAAATAAACAAGTAAACAGATAGCTACAGCTACACTTAGAGATGATAATAGTTTAAGTAGATCTATCATATACCTGCAAAAACCATGATAAAGAAAAATGATCTTTATTTCTCACTCAGTCTACAATAAACAACCCCATATACGACTCTGTCAACGAGCTTCAATCAGCTTTTCTCCTCTTCCCCTTTCTGTCAAAGACAAAAAAAAAAATTTTCTTTCAAACCTTTAATAAACATTTCAAGACAGCTTTTACACAATCTGTAGCATACTGCTGTAGTTTGAACTCTAATAGTTCCATCAATGGCTCCAAAACTGCA